TATGCTTGGGGGTCTCTTTAGATGGAGCCTGGGGTGTACGGTGAGTGGTTTCTAGAATAATATCAGTGGGCCTGTGACGAATGTCAATTTAATTAAATATCTACAAAGGTTTAGTATTGAAAATACTATTAACAATTCTTAATATAACATGACACAAATTTTTGCTTTTCTCTGATTGTTTAATTTTTGGCACTGAACAATATAGAGTGATCTATATTGTTAAAGAAAGGTTTGGTATCATTGAAAATGAACACCTTCATGAGTCTAGTTTTAACAAAGGAGGCAGGAGAACTTTATAGCTAGAGATGACCGAACTCCACCCAACATCTTGTGAACTCCCACGGTATCAGACTACCTGAAGCATTTCTCCTGAACGGAAAGCCATTTTTTATTTCCCCTCCTAGTAAAACTTCAACACAAGCCTTCCTGCCCTTCCTCTATCCAAACATCTCATTTTCCCCAGGATTAGCATGATTCTGCCTGGTCCCTTGTGTGGAAAAGAACTGGAAAAACTATTCAAGTTGAAAAATCAAACCAATTGGTATAATTTAGTTAGGTCAGTGTACTTAAAAATGCCATACATTTGTAGCTTCATTGAAAGACTTTATTTATTCAGAAGGAGCTCCAGCCTCTGGTCTGATAGGGCTTTTGTGGTTAACTCTGCCCAGCCAGAGCTACATGTGTGACTCTTTGTGTTCAGTTGAACTCTAGACCTTCACATGAGACTGGGAGTGCGGGAACCAGTACCTGGCCAGAGCTGAGCCCAGACCACCCACTCACTTCACACAGCCCATTAAATGGTTATCATATGATGCTATGTTACTCGTCCTGTTGGCCTTGCCATGAACGGCTGTGTGTCAAATTACTAATTATCCCTACAGCTTTGCTACATGAATGTCATTTAATTTCCACCTTCACTTTGAAAGCCACACTGCTCAGACAGAGCCATTGCAATAACCTCAGGAGCTGGTGCTTGCAGAGCTATGAGATGACATCCAGCCCCACTGTAATCGTTATCACCAAGAGATGTTTTCTTAAGTACACAGCACTAGCAAATGCCAAAAAGGAAGACAAAAAGTCCCCCTGCCACATCCTCTACGCATTTATTGTGAAAGTTGCACCGCTCCGGACGATTCTCATGCTTTGGTTTCATCCATGCTGACACTGGACACTTGCCTGTGCTGTATGCAAATAACAAACCACCATCTGGGAGTTTCATCATCTTACTCTAAGTCAGGAGTGTCTCTAAGGATTTTTCCTACTTGGCATGAAAATCCTGCTTTAGCTTCAGTGATTAGAGAACGTGGGGAGTGAGTTCCCTCAGTCTAGACCCCAAAGATTAGGTCAGACAGACTTAGGAATTTCCATGAAAACTCTCTAGATTGCAGGCTATAATTTACCTGATGTTGCTATATTTTTGCTAGGTTAGATTTTGCAAATATTTTAGTTTAAGATGTCCCATTAATCTGGAATTACAAAATGCTAAAAACATAATCATGCTTGAAGAAGGTAACTGAAGCAGAGTAGGTCAGACAGGAATAGGCCATGGTGGAAGAGCACATAGGAGGCTAATAGTCATTATTTTGACTTAAGCATACGATTCTATGTTAAAATTATTTGCAGCCATCGAAAATAATGAACTATATGGATGTCTCACATATGGCTAAATTCAAAGGGTTTTGGATTTTAAAATATGAACCTAGGTTTAATTGATTCTTTTATCAATCAACACTAAAATCAAGGCAAGGGTCTTAACCTAAGTAATGTTTGTGGTTTTATTGTGTGTTTAAGTAGAACTTTATTTGTGAATTTCCTAGTTGGCTTTCAAATAACTGACATAAATTTATCCAAACCAAGAAATAAGCAAAAACAAAAAGTTTGTGTTTATGAATATGAAGGGCAGTATTACATTATTCATTTCTTTTTTAAACCTCTATTAGGCACCTGCCACATGCCAGACATTGTGCTAGGTGCTAGCAATACAAACAATGAGGAAAAATAGATTCAGTTCCTACCTCATAAGGTTATAGTACCTCCTGGGACATGATAAGTTAAATTATAATGAATGTAAATTCCCACATCTAGCAAATAGCAAGCATTATAACTTAAAAGACGGTTTAGTGACATCATTTACTCTACCTGGAGACTACAACTTTTCCTGTTTATTATGATCCTATTTCTATTTATTACAAATTCAGCATCATTTTTTCAAGCTGTCATTTTTTTGAATTAGGAAAATAACTCTGTTTCTTGGATAATATGGAAAACTTTGAAATATTTTCTGCTTAGAAATATATTGCCCATCATTAGCTTTTATTTCAAAACTTCTCTGTTATTATTTATCATGCTTTCCCCCAGTTTACTCTTCTGGCCTTCCCTTTCTCTATTCCCCTCCTCTTGTGTAACGCTCCAGTGGCACCAGTCAGCTGTATTTTACTAAGATCCTCCGCCTTTTCCCATCCCCCTGCCTTTGCTCACCTTGTATCCTTTGCCTGAGATGCCTTTCCTCAACATCTTCACCTACCTAATCCTACTCATGTTCCCAAAGCCAGCTTCGATGCCATCTTGTCTACGATGACTTTAACTCTCTTTTCTCTTCTGAACAAATATAGCACCTTTTAATTGCCTTGATTCTAAACAATAATGAATGGCAGGCTACAACATTTGTGTACAGGCTACAATTTTCTGTTGGAATGTCAGCTTATAGAGAACAGAATAATATTTTACTTTTAATTACATTAATATTCCATGAAGATATGGCACAAGTATTTCTTGAGAACTTCCTATGTCAGGTGCTATGCTGTTCTGAAGATGAAGACAACCTCATTCTCCATCCTTATGATATAGGCACTAAACATCTGAATATTATAAATGTGGTATTTGTGAGACACAAAATTAATTCTCAACTACCTCTCAAATCTAGCCTGAGTCTTTACTTTTTATGTTGGGTTGGAAGCCCCAGAGGCCATAGGCAGCAAACTTATTTTAGGAGTTTACATGTTTTGACAGTGCTTATTATAGGTGGTACCTGACTCCTTACACACTTCGCATCATGAAAAATTTGGTAGGGTCAACACTGAATTACCAAAGGAGAAGAGCTGGATCACTCTTCAAACTAGCAGCTATATTTATAAATAATCAGGCCCAGGGCTGTAACTGCTGCTCTTTCCCAGGCTGCCTGGCTGCATTCTACAGTCAGGCAGTAGAATGGCACAGTAGGAAAAAAAGTATGGCTGTGTTGGTGCTAGACCTGCTTTTGGTGAGGACATAGCTTCACCAGTAACTAGAAGGGATGCTTTAGAAGGTGTCAACTTCATCTGTAAAGAATAGAAATATCTTCCAAATATAAATAACACAGTCTATAACAGGGTCTATAAACTCTAGCCTATAAACCAAATCTGGCCTGCTGCTTGTTTTATAAGTAAAGTTTTACTGGGACACAGGGATACCCATTTATTATGTATTGTCTATGTGTCTGCATTACATAAGCATAACTGAATAATAACAATGAAGACAGTTTGGTTCATAAAGCCTAAAATATTTACTATCTGGCTCTTTATAGACAAAGCATGCTGACCCCTGGACTAGAACACAGGCCTGCACTTGGAAGATACTCAATAAACATTAATTATCTAATATTCTCTTTTTCACCAGACCTTATCTGGGTAAGAGTGGAAAAGAAAAGATGGAGAAGAGCTGGCAGGAGAGGAACTAGGGTGGCTAATTGTCTCTTTCCATTTAACAGAACTTCAAACTGGAATTCAACTTAACTCTATGACTGAAACCTAATAGAAACCTGAAGAAGTAAAATTCTTTTTTTTTTTTTTTCCTAATTGACAACTGTCACTGGTCCAAAAACTTTTTTTTCCTCCAGGAAAGCATTATGAAGTCACCATTGAAGTTAATGATTCATTCTTGACAACAGTTGTCATTGGTAGGGACCATAAAAATATTCCATCAGAGCATGGTACTGCCATTCCAGGCAGTTTTGCTTGTGCTGGTACTGATTTCAATTATAACAAGTTATCTAAATCACTGGGCTTCCTGTTGGCTGCACCCGTTGCCCAGTGATGCAATGGAAACCCTGTTTCTAACCTATGATATCTGGTTACTTACAACAGGGTCTGGGCAGCTAGGGTATAAACAAAACTCAATCACCAATCAATGCAGAAGGAAATGATCTTCATTTGCCCTATATGATGTAATCATCTTGGGCCTGATAATCTTCTAACAATTATTGACTATAAGGCCATGCAAATCTTATGAATTAATCTTATTCCTTATCAGGGCAGGTAGTCAAGTGTATCCCACAATATTTGATTTGGTTCAATTCCTTGTGTACATATCCTTTCTTTTCTTCTTACTCCATTATGTCAGCCCCTGTGGGAGGAGGTAGTGTGTTTGCATAAAGCATAGCACGATGGTGCTCTGTGTCTGTGTGTCTATTCCATGGGTGAGCATTTGAATGGCTACCCTCTTCTACCTTTTAGCCTTTAAGTGCCCTAATCCAGTGATAAGACTACTTAGTTTCATCTAGCGATTCACCAATTTGTAGCAAAGCAGTGCTTTATATGATATATATATATATATATATGATACAGATAAAATATATGATGTATTTTTTATATCATATATATAAGATAGCAAAATAGATTTTTGTCATTTAGCACATGAGGCCACATGTGCAGAATACATTGCAATTTGTAATTTTGTAAATTCACATACTTGAATCATTGGCCTTAAGACTTGTGCACTGGATCCAGTTACTTAGCTGGAGAGTGAGCCTAGGTCACTATGATACAGACTGGCTAGATTTTCCTAAACTGCCTTCCTTTTGGCACATAGCTAGACTGTATTTCCCTGCTTCCTCTTTAGTTAGATGCAGCCTTCAATCAGAGTTAGGGGCAATGAACATAGTGGAAGTGATACACACTTTTTCCAGGCCTAGGCCATAAAATGCTCCTAAAGGTGATCTTCTAATTTCTTTCTCAATCTCACAGCTGAATGGAAAGGATGCCAGGACATACAGGAGAGTGAAGTAGCAAGATGGAAGGAGCCCAGGTTCCTGGAGGAAATGTGGAGAACTACTCGCCCCACCTCCTTGCCACCACCAACCCATATTACACTGTGATGAGACCTTTTGCCCCACCTCTCACCACCAACGCACAATGGACTGGGATGAGAACAAGAAATAAATATTTATTGTGTTAAATCTCTGAGTTTTGGTGACATTTGTTATAATAGTCTAGTCTGTCTAATGTACTCGCCATTATTTTACTATGTGGCATTGCTATTTTTTATTCATCATCTTCACAAATGCAGTAACTATCATGATATACTTTGTTGTATTTTATGGAATAGATGATATGCTCTCAAGGTGTTTGGAAATGTGAGGGTTGGTGAAAATTGAGAATATGAAATCTCATATGAAGTTTTTCTTCCACATCAATCCGGTGTTGGAGATATCTTGTTCAATGTTAAGATAACGAGGTCTTGATGTCTTGGTTCCATTTTTCAAGTAGATCATTTTTTGGTAGAAAGCCTTGTTTTTCCTGGATGAGTTAATTACTCTATATTAATTGAGCCAACTGTATATAACATATAAAAATTAATTATTAGGCAGGAGATCATAGTTTCCTTTTGTTGGGTTAAAATTTTGTATTTGAGCTCTGGGATTAAGATGGTGGCATGAGAGGTGAGACAGAAACTTCCTCCAAAACCACATATAGTATGAAAATATACCAAATACATCAAATCCTGAAAGAGCCACAGGAAAGAAGGCTGTGGCAAACTGTCTACACCTGGGGAAACCAGTCATGATCTGGAGGGACCCAAGGCCTTTCCCCACCCCAGTTCATTGGAGGGAGGAAGATAAATAGAGTGGGGAAGGGATGAAGGCTTAGGACTGCCAAACACACAGCCCTGGAGATCTGCTCTGGGAGCATGAACCTACATTACATGGTGCTCCGGAGATTAGTGGGATTGGAAAGCTAAAACAGGAGGAATACTTAGAGAGACTGAGATTCCAGCCGCTTGTGGAAAACAGGGATCCACACCCAGCTGCTCTAGGAAAAAAGAAAGGCAGTCAGTCTAAGAGACTTCCTAACAGCAAGAGGGCTGCTAAAGGGGCAAAAATTGCACAGAGCTTGCTGCTCAGGAGAAAGGACAGGTGGACAAAATTGTCTGGGTGCACTCTGCCCAGTAGGTTGGGAACTTTCAGGAGTTTCAGTCACTCCATGCCCCTGGCTGGCTATGCAGGTCCAAGGCCCTCCACCATGATATACAGCCTGCTATGCCTTCCCCCTGGCCAGCACTGGCTCACAAACCAGCTACCCCAGCCAGAGGGTTGCCCTGCCTATAGCAGCTACAAGTGCAAAGCATAGGGGCTTCTCCCTGTGTGCTCAGCCCACTGGCCCCAGCAGTGGAGACAGGCACTACAGCCAGGAAGCAGGAAAGACCTCTTTCCTCCCCACAGTAATCAGTGCCACTCCCTTACAACCCCCGCCATTGCTTCAGGGGCTGAACAGCTCCAGACAGTAGAGCTTCTGGGCACTAGAAGGCACCACCTACTAATATGAAACATCAAAGGAACCTGGTTCAAACCCAAATCCCACAAACACCAGAAAGAGGGCCAAGTGAAACTGAACTCATCAATCTTCCTGAAAAAGATTTCAAAATAAAAATTATAAGCATGTGCATGGAGCTACAGAAAAATATTCAAGAACTCAGGAAGGAATTCAGGAATGAGATACAAATGTTGGAGATTACAGTATCTGAAATAAAATATGCAATGGAGGGATTCAAAAGTAGATTAGATGAAGTAGAAGAGACAGTAAATGAATAGAAATTAGAGAACAGGAACACAAAGAAGCTGAGGCACAGAGATAAAAAAAAGATCTCTAGGAATGAAAGAATATTGAGAGAACTGTGTGACCGATCCAAACAAAACAATATTTGCATTATAGGGAAATCCACATATATAGTAGAAGAAGAGAGAGAAAAAGGGATAGAAAGCATCTTTGAGGAGGTGATTGCTGAAAACTTTCCCAATCTGGGGAACAAGATAGTCTTTCAGGTCATGAAGGTGCACAGATTTCCCAACACAAGGGACCCAAGGAAGACAACACCAAGACATGTAATAATTAAAATGGCAAAGATCAAGGATAAGGACAGAGTATTAACAGGAGCCAGAGAGAGAAAAAAGATCATATACAAAGGAAAACCCATCAGGCTATCATCATACTTCTCAGCAGAAACCTTACAAGACAGAAGGGAGTGGCATGATATATTTAATGCAATGAAGGAGAAAGGCCACTAACCAAGAATACTCTACCTGGCAAGATTATCATGTAAATTTGAAGGAGAGATTAAACAATTTCCAGATAAGCAAAAGCTGAGAGAATATATCTCCCACAAACCAACTCTACAGTGTATTTTAGAGGGATTGCTATAGATGGAAGTGTTACTAAGGCTAAATAGCTATCACCTGAAGAAATAAAACCATAGTAAAGAAAGTAGGCCAATTAATTACTCAGCAGAGACAAAATCAAATCAACAACCCCCAAAGTCAGTCAAGGGATAGACAAAGAGTACAGAATATGATACCTAATATATAAAGAAAGGAGGAGGAGGAAAAAGGAGGGAAAAAAGAACCTTTTGATTGTGTTTGTAATAGTATACTAAGTGAGTTAAATTAGACTGTTAGATAGTAAGGAAGTTACCCTTGAACATTTGGTAACCACGAATCTGAATCCTGCAATGGCAATAAGTACATACGTATTGATAATCACTCTAAATGTAAATGGTCTGAATACAATAATCAAAAGAGAGTCACTGAATGGATAAAAACACAAGACCCATTTATATGCTGCCTACAAGAGACTCACTTCAAAACCAAAGACATACACAGACTAAAAGTGAAGGGATGGAAAAAGATATTTCTTGTAACTAATAGGGATGAAAAGGCAGGAGTTGCAGTACTTGTATCAGACAAAATAGACTTCAAAACAAAGAAAGTAACAAGAGACAAAGAAGGACATTACATCATGATAAAGCGGTCAGTCCAACAAGAGGGTATAACCATTGTAAATATCTATGCACCCAATATAGGAGCACTTACATATGTGAAACAAATACTAACAGAATTAAAGGGGGAAATAGAATGCAATGTATTCATTTTAGAAGACTTTAACACATCACTCACTCCAAAGGACAGATCAACCAGACAGAAAATAAGTAGGGACACAGAGGCACTGAACAACACATTAGAACAGATAGACCTAACAGACCTCTACAGAACACTCCACCCTACAGCAGCAGGATGCACATTCTTCTCAAGTGCACATGGAACATTTTCAAGAATAGATCATATACTAGGTCACAAAAAGAGCCTAAATAAATTCAAAAAGATTGAAATTGTACCAACCAACTTCTCAGAGCACAAAGGTATGAAGCTAGAAATAAATTATGCAAAGAAGACAAAAAATCCCACAAACTCATGGAGGCTTAACAACATGCTCCTAAATAACCAATGGATCAATGACCAAATAAAAAGAGATCAAGCAATACATGCAGATAAATGACAATAGCTCAACACTGCAAAATTTGTGGAACGCAGTGAAGGCTGTGCTAAGAGGGAAGTATATTGCAATACAGGCTTACCTCAGGAAAGAACAACAATCCCATATAAACAGTCTAAACTCACAATGAAACTAGAAAAGGAAGAAAAATGAGGCCCAATGTCAGTAGAAGGGGGACATAATAAAGATAAGAGACATGTAAGAAAATGAAACTGGATTATTATCTAACTCCATACACAAAAGTAAACTCGAAATGGATCAAAGACCTAAATGTAAGTCATGAAACCATAAAACTCTTAGAAAAAAACATAGGCAAAAATCTCTTGAATATAAACATGAGCAACTTTTTCCTGAACACATCTCCTTGGGCAAGGGAAACAAAAGCAAAAATGAACAAATGGGACTACATCAAGCTAAAAAGCTTTTGTACAGCAAAGGACACCATCAGTAGAACAGAAAGGCATCCTGGAATATGGGAGAATATATTTGTAGATGACATATCTGACAAGGAGTTAACATCCAAAATCAGCAAAATGCAAATTAAAACCACAATAAGATATCACCTCACACCTGTTAGGATGGCCAACATTGAAAAGACAAGGAACAACAAATGCTGGCAAGAATGTGGAGAAAGGGGAACCCTCCTACACTGCTGGTGGGAATGTAAATTACTTCAACCATTGTGGAAAGCAATATGGAGGTTCCTCAAAAAACTAAAAATATACCATTTGACCCAGGAACCCCACTCCTAGGAATTTACCCAAAGAAAACAAGTTCTCAGATTCAAAAAGACATATGCACCCCTATGTTTATCACAGCACTATTCACAATAGCCAAGATATGGAAGCAACCTAAGTGTCCATCAACAAATGAATGGATAAAGAAGATGTGGTACATACACACAATGGAATATTATTCAGCCATACGAAGGAAACAAATCCTACCATTTGCAACAACATGAATGGAGCTAGAGGGTATTATGCTCAGTGAAATAACCCAGGCAGAGAAAGACAAGTACCAAACGATTTTCCTCATTTGTGAAGTTTAATAATGAAACAAAACTGAAGGAACAAAACAGCAGCAGACTCATAGACTCCAAAAAGGGACTAGCATTACCAAAGGGGAGGAGTGGCAGAAGGTGGGTGGGGAGGGAGGGAGAAGGGGATTGAGGGGTATTATATTAGTACACATTGTGTAGGGGGTGTCATGGGAAGACAGTGCAGCACAGAGAAGACAAGTAGTGACTGTGGCATCTTACTACACTGATGGACAGTTTCTTCAATGGGGTATGGGGGGGACTTGATAATATGGGTGAATGTAGTAACCACAATGTTTTTCATGTGAAACTTTGTAAGAGTATATATCAATGATACCTTAATAATAAAAAAAATTGTATTTGAGAGGGGAATGAGTATGGCATTAAGGAGGAAAGTGTGAGGCAGTTATTTTGCAAAGGAGAAATCCGCAAAAGCTTTAATAGCACCACATAGTTTCCCTTTGTTGCTGACTAGCATAATCCAGATGAGGCCATACCTTTAACTCTGATCACAAAATGAGGATTACAGAGCATAGCCTCA